CCATGTTACTCTGGTACTGAGAGCCAGTTTGGTGTAGCGGTTAAGAGTGCGGACTCTAATCTGGGAGAGCCGGGTTTGATTCCCCACTCCTCCACATGCAGCTGCTGGTGTGACCTTGGGCCAGTCACAAGTTCTGTCAGAGCTGTTCTGTCAAGGGCAGTTCTCCAAAGAGCAGCCCCACCTATCTGACAAGATGCTTGTTGTGGGGAGGGGAAGGGAAGAGGATTGTAAGCCGCTCTGAGACTCCTTTGGGTGCTGAAGGGTGGGCTATAAATCCAATCTCTTCTTCTTCCTCTTCTACTGTTGGAATGGCAGAGATCAAGTGGGAGGGGCCCACAGCCTGGCAGCTTCCCACACAGACGGCGCCATGCCCTCTGGGCATTCTGGCACGGGCATGCCCACGTCGTTGGTATCTGCAATATCAGCCTCACCTTTATTTTATTGTACTTACAAAATTTGCGCCTGGCCTTTCTTCTGGATCAGGGTTTACCCAGGTAGCGAAGGATTCAAAACAAAAATAAAAGGTATGCCGTGAAACCAATTAAAACCAAAACTAACGGGTGGCATCTAAAACCCATCGGCATCTAAATTATGCTGGAAATGTACAAAAAACATAGGGACCTTTTTTCATATGTGGTGGCATTATGTTTAGCTTCATAATATCAACCACAAGTTTCTGAATCAATTCCCAGTACTTCTTAACTTTAAGAAGTACTGGGAATTGATTCAGAAACTTGTGGTCGATATTATGAAGCTAAACATAATTTTAACTCCGGAAATAGCCTTACTGAATATGGTACCAGAGGATTGTACATTTAATGAAAAATGTGTACTAAAGTACATAATGACTACTACAAGAATATTACTGGCTAAATATTGGAAACAAGGAAGAGTCCCGACAAGACAAGAGACATTAGAAAAACTGATGGAAGTAGCAGAAATGGACAAGTTAACTTTAATTCTCCAAGGGAAAGATGAAAGTGTATTTAGTAAAAGATGGGAAAGATTCTACAACTGGATGTATAATAGATAGGAAAATTTGACTCAAATGTATAAAAGAATGAAAATATGCAATGTTAAAGGAAAAACGCAGAAGGATGGAAAGAGGAAATTGTGTTAATGTGAATTGAGGAATTATAAATAAAACTGTTAAAAAAACCCCAAAAAAACAAAACTAACATGCAGAAACCGAACACCCAAGATAGCAATAAAAAGAATTAAGGCAAGAAGGGGGGGGTCCTTGAGGGAGCCCGAGATGAAACAGACAAAGGAAGTCTTCACCCATTGGTGGAAGACAGCCCCAGAAGAGATCAGACCAGGGGTCTCCAACAAAGTTCCCACTAAGCTGTGGAGTCTTGTGAGCAAAAATTCTGCTCTGTGAGCTGCTGGGATTAAAGTTGTGAGCCAGCGATTCGGCTACTGCATTAAATTAGTCTGCTCTGGAGCCCCATCCTTCCTGAGCTGAGACACAAATGCGTGAGCCGGAGGCTAAAAAACTGTGAGCTGGCTCACACTAACTCAGCTTAGAGGGAACACTGGTCCCCAACCTTTTTGAGACTTTGGACCCCTTTTTAATTTTTTTTTTTCCTTTTTTTTTTTTTTTGTATTTTTGCTTGCGTGTGTGCTTGCGCCTATGCCTGGAGGTCATGGTGACCTCTGGTGACTCCTACAGGGACATGGAGGACGTTCAGAGTGGTGGCTTGATATTACCTGCCTCTGCGTCCCTGCCCTGGTATTCTCTGGAGGTCTCCCATCCAAATACTTGCCGGGGTCGGCCCTGCTTAACTTCTGAGATCTGACGAGATCAGGTTTGCCTGGACTATCCAGGTCAGGGTGGGCACCGTTGTAATTCTGACACTAATGGTCACCATAGGAGGTGGTGGCCACACATAGAGGAACATAAGAACATAAGAGAAGCCAATGTTGGATCAGGCCAATGGCCCATCCAGTCCAACACTCTGGGTCCCACAATGGACAAAAATACCAGGTG